ATGACATGCTGTTTGACAACAGGCTCTCCCTTTCAATTTTCGTTAGAGAAAAAGAGATAACAGGCGGTACCCCCTAGTTTAATCTAGTACATATGAGTAGATAGTGTTGCCGTGAGGTACACTCGAAAATTGTAAATGTAAGTGCGTCAAATCAAATTTCGAGCCGCTCCGTCTGTCACTTCGTTTGTGGTTACAGCTATTTAGGTGTCTGGTTCGATTCCAAATGCACATGGGGAAAACTCGATCGGTCTGAACTCAGGGCAATTCGGAGGATTAATCTCTTTGGCGACGAAATTAACATTGTTTGCTATATCCGCCAAAACATAACGTTGGTCTTATGTTGCCGAATGAAAAAAACAAAAATCCGCTTTTTCAGACACTCCTTAATGTAAACCTTCGACGTCATGGTGTGAGATGTGATGAAAACCTTGGTTTTAAGGCCACAACTGCAGATTCCTTGCCAAATCATTAGTTTCCGAGCAAACTTATTAGCAAAAATAAATTTATACCTGAAAGGGACATCCCCACGACCAGTTGTTAGGTAAAATTTTCGTTCGGGGATTTGTTTATAATCCATTTTGACATATGTTTCGTCATCCATTAAAATACAGCCATCAAATTTCGTCAAAACTCGTTCGTATAGTAATCGTGCTCGCTTTTTGGCCACTAAATTTTGTTTCAGGGAGCGATTCGGATGTTTACTGGCACAAAAAGACTTATATCACAAACGAAGTGACAGACGACTTTCTCCGAAGAAAATAATTAAAATAATGTGGTTCTCAGTAATAGAATTTTAGTCCACCTTCCGCCCCTCACCGCCAGGTTCGTTAGTATTTTTGTTTTGAATTAATTCAAGTTGGTTTTGTGTGCAATGATCTGGCAACTCGCGTTCTCGCTCGCGTTGACGGGGAGCTGTTTTCTCACTCATCGAAGGAAATTTTGATTAGAGTGAGAAAGTAAGGAACAGTCAGCGCGGGAACCATGTGCGTTACTATAGGTGCGGCAGAAGGAATGTAGTCGACACTTTCGTTCTCATGGTGTTCTTACGCATGATCCAACGTTTCGTCACACTAGATTATGCATAAGAACGTCGTGATAATGAAAGTGCTGACTTGTTTCCTTCTGCCTGACCAATCACATTGATCACAGCACTTGCGATTCTCCGTCGGTTTCAGGTGCATTATTTGTGTCATAGTGATTGCTGACGTTTATCGTACGCACACTACGTCACGTATACGTATACGCAAAATGTTTTCATCGGGAAAAAAAAAATTTCATAGCGGAAAATTTTCCCGATGAAAACAAATCACTGACACAATCATACTTTAGCAATCTCTATACCACCAGTCCAAACACTAGAAGTTTTGGAAGGTTCTCCCTCAGTACCTGCAAGCAACGTGATACCAGCTGACATTCGCTACGTGAAATCCGGAACATTTTCTCACTTTTGAGCATCAACGTCAACCCGGTTTCGAATCGCATTCCCACTGAGGTGGCACCGTTGGCAGTAATCTACTGCGCCGTGGGAAAGACTTGACTAGCGCTGGAAAATTCGCCGTCTAAGGAAGGTCGCCATTAAAATTAAATCAACCTAATTTTCTTCGCTGTAACGTACTCCGTATCAGACTCGCTGAGGGACCGTTTTCGTGGGACGGGTTTCGACCCAAAAAGCTTCAATTAGCTTTTCAAAAGATTTCTGTAAGGCGTCTTGGGACGCACGATTTCCTGTCCCACCGAGGCATCCGTTAGCGTGTCCGTGTCGGAACGGATGACCTCTTTGATCGACTGCAATTCTACCATCGATTTTCGGCACTACTTTTTGTTTAACTTCACATGGTTGACGATCCGGAGGAGGATGCTTCGTCTTCATTGTCCGAAGAAGTCAATGATTTGATCTTTTCCGAGCTGAGCTTCTCGAGCCTTACGACCGGTTTGGCTCGAAGCAATTTTTCGACGGAAGTTCCTCGTGGCAGTGGAATCTCGAGTGGAATCTTCTTGACCAGTTCCTCCAGACTGATTTATTCGTAATTCGAAGAAACGAGCAAGGAAGAACTAGACGAAGACGTGGACAGCCTTCGCATCGACGTTGGTTTCTTTCGTCTAGAAACCAGATCGGAATCGCTGTCGTCACTGTCTATTGTGGTTCGTCTTTTCGGTCTCGGAGTATTTCACCTTACCCACCAGCACTACGTGCTTATCGCACCACGACTGGAACGTATCCACGTAATGCGACAGGCACTCATTCTGCATCCCACAAAGCGTATGAAATGAACGGAAGCACTTCTTCGCGCAACACAAAACGTTTGCATACCGTTTCTTGCAGATGTAACACTTTTGTCCTCGCATATGAGCTTCCTCATTTCTGAAGTCCTCCTCCATGTATCCGAAGATTCCCTCCTCGTCTTCAGGTAACAAGATACACGTAGCAGGTATAATGACTAGTTTTTTCACGTCTAGTAGACCGGTCCAGAATAGAGCATCGTACCGCAATCATGCTCAAACGCTTGACATACAGCATATTTAGCCGTAATAAATTTAAAAAAAATCGGTTCCATCCGATCCTCCTTCATTCTCACCTCCAGCACGTCGATCGCCTCTTTGATTCGATGGATCTCGACATGATTTTGGAGTAAATTTTCCTCCTTCAGATCGCCCTCGTCGAGAGCTTCCGGTTCCGCTACGGAGGAGCGAATGCATACCGAGTATGGCCGCAAAAAAAATATAGTTAAATAACGAAATTACAATGATTTTTACGGTTGAATTTTGGGCACATTAAAAATTTATTGTTAAATTATTGGACGGGAGAAAAAATAAATTTCGTTTTTAACGAAACAATTATCAATGAAAATTAATTTGATGAGATCAAATTTGTTCGAGAAAAATCAATTTTTTTATTGTTAGGATGCTTAACAACCCCCCTTTTTTACTGTACATTTCTCATATACCACGATTTTCGTTGTGATTTTATGGTAGGGGTAAGAGGGGAATAGTGAGGATCCCATGCCCCAGCTTGGTCTTCCGGCCGTTTGGAACAAATTGGTTGGTGGTAGGATCAATATCAACCTACTATCAGTTGATTTGTTTCATGCAGCTGGAGATTCAGAGCCAAAGTGTGGAATGCTCACTATGCCCCTCCTACCCCTAATCAACAAAAATCTCCATTCAAAATCATTGGTTTTTTTTCACGGGCAGGTCCTGTTTGGCGTCCAACAACGATGTCTTCTCGGTCGCGAATGACTGTGGCTTTGGTTAGGAGCACTGACTGATGAAATCTTTAGCAACAATTGCCGCCAACAAGCGCGAGTCATTGACAGCTCAACATCGTTTACTTCTAAGCAAACGTTAACTCGATGTGTTTACCCCTAATCATTTCGGCCTATGGTCTTCCATTATACAAAAGAAGTGCAGATAACAATGAACACAACATAGTGACATGCTGTTTGACAACAGGCTTTCCCTTTCATTTTTCGTTAGAGAAAAAGAGATAACAGGCGGTGCCCCAATAGCATCAACTACTTTAAGATAGTACATATGAGTAGATAGTGTTGCCGTGAGGTACACTCGAAAATTTCAAATGAAAGTGCGTCAAATCAAACTTCGAGCCGCTCCGTCTGTCACTTCGTTTGTGCTTATATCCTTCTCTTGAAAGGATGTTACGCACGGTGGAAAAGTTGGAATCGTATTTCTTTGCCAAATCACGTATACTTTTCACGTACCTCAACACCATGCTCCTCAGCTTTTTGTCCCTAGTGCCACTTTTATGATAGATGCGCTGTGCTCTATCCACACTCAGAGTATCCTTGTAACGTTTGATTACAAGACTCACCGTTGACTTTGGGAATTTTAACACTTTTGCTATTTTTGAGGCAGACCACGAAGGGTTCTCTAGATGTTTGTGCACAATTAATTTTCTTTACTCAAGTTCCATGATCCGTAATTTCGGGATGCGTCGATCAATCGAGAAAAACTTTTCACCAATTTCTTCGTCAATGAAACATCCACAAATGCCTGTCAAACGTTTTTTGTTCCAACCACCTGGGGTGCGGTGGTGTATTAAACCGTGCGTCCAGATTTACTTTGAATCGAGCTTTAATAAAAATAACCATAAAGGAGAGCTTAACGACGGGTTGGGGTATCATCAAAACCATTTGTGGGATAGTTTACCCATCCGGGATACAGTTCGTTTATGGTATTTGTTTATTAGGGAAAGGATCAACTCTGTTTTGACCTGATCTAGTATCCTGCCACTACGCTCGAAATGTGTTGGAGTGGTACAGAGCCAACGTAGTCAATTTTGTGCCAAAAGATGTGAACCCACCAAATTCACCGGAACTTCTACCAATTGATTTTTCGTCCCTCTCTAATTGAATTTGCATTACCATCTGATTTATTTCTGTGGTGCTATTTCACAGATCATCACCCATATTCTGTTCTTTTGTTTTGTTCAATATGGTCAAGAGCAGGACATTGTAATGCGTGATTTTATTTTAAAAAAATGTGTTTTTGTTATTTTTCATTCATTTGTTTGGCAGGTTCAATCGCGTAATCTTTATGGAGCTGATATTTCATTCAGGGGTGAACCGATTACTTATTTAAATCATTTATATTTATGCTTATTTTCTACCACTGATTGCTTATTTCTGTCCCTCATGCTTCGTGTGTCATAATTAGCTCATTCGCCATCAATAGCGTTATCACCCGCCGCAGATTGCGGTCAGCATTTGATTTATTTTTCATCGTTAGGCCACCACTCCACCATCACTTTCTTTTGGTTCCACCAAGTAAAACCAGTGATGACTCATGCTCCATCCATTCACGGAGAGCAACAGAAGAGCACCGGCATTTTCGATTCCCTTCAACCGCGGTCGTTGATTCATAATAATCCGCTGTTGAGCGAAGCAATAACAAACAAGTCTAGTAAAAAGCAAAAAAAAAAAATCTTATTTTCTTCTGTTTGTCTGTTTTGTTACACTTTCATGTACGTCCATCGCCCATATCAGTAACCGACCACGATCGCGTTGTGGTATGCTACATTTCGACGTGGGCCGTATACCGGAAAGGTTCGGCGTCCTACAGTTTGGACCACTTCGATCCGAAGCTCTGCACGCACGCCATCTACGCGTTTGCCGGTCTGGACATCGAAAGCAATGCCATGAAATCGCTTGGTAAGTACCTATCACCGTATAAAGTCTATATCCCTATCCTAAATTTAGCGTCAGATTGCATTAATCGAAGAAAGCAAACACCTTGTCATCGACCTCCCCCAAATGCATATGAGTCGGTATGTGGATTAATGTAGACTATCGGGTATCGGATTACACATGCCTTCCTGTCCCGTGCTGTGATGGTCTTTCTTTGTGTGATTGCGGAGAGGAAAACAAGCGTGTGAACTGTAAACCGGATTTATCGGTGAATTATCGATTGAGGTACGGGGTGTGGATTACAACTACAATGGCCTGTATATTTAAAGTAGAAGGGTATCATTTTGTACTACAAATGAGTTGTACATAATGTATACATTAGGGTGCTTCATAACGAATTTACGTTGCATCTGGGGGGAACATGAACTCGTTTAATTTTGCATTCATTCTGCGATGTTAAATTAGACGAGGTATACGGTGTATCCGAGACCCGCCTGCACAAATTATCAACTTTACAACCTCCTGTTCGCCACTGCTCTTTCAATGCGTATTGAGGTCCCAAAGAACTGTACAACATTTGAACAAATTTGGTTAAACTCTCGATTTGCGGGACATTTTAAATGGGAAAATGTATGGGAAACGAAACGATCCTATTTATTTGCTTACCAAAAATGAAGCCCGCCTGGACGGGATTTCATTTTCATTTTGATTACTTGGACTGCCTCAACTCCAATTCATCTTTGTCTGATGCAGAGATTTACCACTGGGCAGCCCTTTCAAGACAACCTTGAACAGACTTTCAGTTTTGGTGTAGTAAGTGAAAAATTTGTGTTGTTTTTCAGTTTTCAGTAAGATACTTGAGAAGACGTTTGAATCCGTCCAAGGTTTCAGCAAATACAGGGCATTCAGCCCAACGGCCAACTTGAATTTCACGAAATGGAAATCGGAAGTGGTTATCACATAGCTCTGGTCTTAGAGTTACCTTTATGATCCTACCATCTTGGCGGAAGGCCGACCCCGTTACAACGACCAACCATGGTCCTAAACCAGTCCTTCTGGGAGCCGGCGGAAAAACGGATTTACATCGAATTTTTCACCGCCCGAGTTTCATCCGTCGGAAAACTGTAAACCAACACCGGCCGGAACACATGTCGGACTAATGAAGGACGCACCACTGACCCGAAATCACATTGTTCAAAGTTCTGATAAAATAAGAGATTTAGGAGTTATTCTAGATTCTAAACTAACATTTGTGGATCATTATAACACAATTATTCATAGAGCAGGCAATATGCTTAATTTTATAAAGCGTTTTGGTTTACACTTTAAAGATCCTTACACAATTAAAACACTATATGTTGCCTATGTGAGGCCAATATTAGAATAATGCAGTGTTGTTTGGTCACCTTATATGAAAAAGCATGAAGAACGAATAGAGTCAATCCAAAGGAAATTTTTACTATATGCACTACGTAGATTGGGATGGACAGAATTGCCTTTCCCATCTTATGAAGCTCGTTGCTTGTTAATCAACATTCAGTCATTGAAAGAGCGCCGAGATTATGCTATGGTCTCTTCCGTGAACAATATTGCTTCGCAACGCATTGACTCAGCTTATTTATTATCAAGACTTAATTTTTATGTACCTTCTCGTCAATTGCGTAATCTATATTTGTTCGCGGTAGATCGTCGGATGATATCTGTTTATAATCTATACTGTGAAATGATAGACCTAAATATGTCGCCCCTAAAACTGAAAAAAATATTTCCAAAAACTGCGAAATCATAGATCATAAGTTATGATGTTATTATGCAGTCTACGTTTTTGATTGACGAATAAATAAATAGAAATGGACCAGCCAATTTCATTCAAACGGCACAGCAACAGGGCGCAGTGATGATGGTCTACGGACTCGATAACAACACAGCCAACACCGATAAGCTGTTCAATCTGTTCTGCCTGTACGGAAATGTCAAGATTAAGCTCCTGAAGAGCAAAGAGGGTATCGCCATCATGGTGCAGATGGGAGACGCCATCGCAGTCGAACGCAGCATCCAGCACTTGAACAACATTCTAATCGAAAATGATGGTAGCAAAATTCAGATTGCATTTTCCATTTCTTGTCAGAGTCCACCGACCCCTACACCCTGTCGGACAATTCGATCAGCTTCAAGGGCTACAGCGCCTCCAAGAACAATCGCTTCCTTTCGTTGACCCAGGCCAGCAAAAATCGCTTTCTGCCACCGAGCAAGATTTTCCACTTCTTCAATACCCATCCGTTATATCCGAGGATCTGCTGCTGACTGCATTCACCACCAAAGACTACCACCCGTCGCAAGTGTGAATGTTCCCGCTGAAATCGGAACGTTCCTCCTTCGGATTGGTCGAGCTCCCGAGCGTAGCCCTGGCGGTGAACGCCATAATGAAGTGCAACCACAGCGCAATCGATCACAAAGGCACACAATTCCCGATGAAGCTGTGTTTCTCCTCGTCCAAGACGATGAACATGGAACAACATCGAAAACATGGGCATGTGCATGGCACCAGCACCTGGCAACCCAATGTCGGCAGCGGCCGCGACAACCTCCGTCGTGGCAGCAGCGCCCGGTGGTGTGACGTCCATTTCGGTGGAGGGCGGCTCTCTCAAATCCGAACACGATAAACCAATGTAAGATGGAGTCCATTTTCTTAGAAGGAAAGCAAAAGCAACGACGTAACTCGTTCGTCAGGTCTCACCCCACATCAACGATCATCATCGTCATTGTCAGCACCATCCAATACCACACATACACACCCCCCATGTAATGTCCTTTAATGTCGATTCGAGACTACACGGCGGAAGATCGATCTTGATAACATCCGCTTATTGAAGGGAGAAAACATTGAACCAATATCAAAGCTAAATTTTAAGACACGGCTACACGAATTAGCGATGCACATTCGCGCAATTTTCAACAGTGATAGTTTGAAAAATGATAAAGTCTTAATTTTAACAGATTTGAAGAAAAAATTCCTATCGATTGGCTGGATCAAAATCAGACCACTTTTATGCCGCGACCGACTTTGGTTTTTGAAATTGCACCCCCATTGTTGCCTTCAAGAGCTTGGTATGTTAGATTTAAACATATCTGGGTAGAGCTGGAATATGGTTGTTGATTTGCGTGCGCGAGCCTTGGCTTTCAAGACATCATCGAAAGAAGTAATTGTTTACAAAAGCTGTTACGCCCTAATTCCAGCTCTATCTAGATATGGGAACCGTTTTGTCGTGATGGTTGAGTGATGCTGAACTATTATGGTGTTAAACACAGATGAGGCTGGTGAGTTGTATGTTGATTGGAATGAGGGTGACGCGCTTGGCATAGATGGCCCACAGCGACTCACGAAGAGCTACTGATTCCGATCAATAGCAGTGCGGCTTCTTCCTCCTTCTATGGATTCTCATGTGGGCAGTACCTCGCTGCTTGCAGGCAGCCTTTTGTTGTGTACTAGGGAACAAAGTTCAACACCACGCGCCGAAAGCATTGCTGCTGCTGATGCCGACAACCGGACACCACACAGCAAAAAAAAAAATGTAATATCGATCAACGTAATTCAAGCTGATGTATGAAATAATGATGTAATAGCAAAAAGCAGATACAATATTACATCAATGGATGTAATTTTGTTCGCGAAATCGATGTACATCGTACAATGTGATATAACACAACCGATGGATTGACCTGGTTGCAGCAGTTTCGATGTAATATTCAACAACTTTTTTTGCTGTGCACCACACACGGTGATTGGAACTGAATCCGATCAGCGGTTGAGGCAAGCCTTGATAGCCAGCTGCTTGCAGGGAGCCTTTCGTTGTGTACTGGAGAACACCACTACTAACGACGCGGTGATTGAATAAACACCGTTTGGTGAGACCGAATGGAATTCAACTTTGAAATCTGTTTCTGTCGAGGGGGACGACTCTATCTACGATGCAAAAAAGATTGTGTTTTGCTGTAGCTACCTGCGTGCACGCTGAGTAGATAGAAAGAAGATTGATGACGATTCTGAAGATTTCCTGCAAAAACTTGATGAGCGATGCAAGTAGATGCGACAAATGAAAGAAGATTGTTCGAAGATTGATTCACTAGTGTGAGATTTGTTGAGCATCTAAACTTGAAATTTAGATGTGTCGCCCCCCTCGGTTTCTGTAGCAATAGCATTAGAAGCAGCCGCAGCCGTGGGAGCTGCATCGCTAGTTCGTGTAGGCGTGGCCGGAAACCTCGGTCCGGTCACGATACCGCTGTCAGCTGTTCTTTGTCTGGGAAATGTGCCGTCACCGGTGTAACGATTTTGAAGACGGAGTGTTGCTATGCAAGCGATTGTCCTGATTTTTGACGTAGGACTACGTCTGTGATTTCTATATGGGGGTACACTTTGTGATAACCAAAAATGGAACATGTAACAAAATAATGAAAGATTTTGAACGTTAATAACTCAGCTGCCCCTGGACCAATTTCAATAATTTTATCACCAATCGATCAGAAATATTTCTACGCATCTTATCTTAAGACTTTATCATTTTTCAATATGTCACTATGTTTATTCAATCACAGCGTGGTGAGTGGTGGTGTTCTCCAGTACACAACGAAAGGCTCCCTGCAAGCAGCGAGCTGCAGCCCACGTGAGCATCCAGAGAAGGAGGATGAAGCCATACCGCTATTGATCGGAATCAGTAGCTCTTCGTGAGTCGCTGTGGGCCATCTAAGTCAAGTGCGTCAAACTAGAGTATAGACAGAGAGAACCCCGCACAAATTCCTATTCCTACAGAAAATACAAGCTCCTGCTGCAGTTAACAAATAAGATTTTTTATATAAGACCACGTAGTCCTACGTCACCATTGCGTACAACCTCAGGTTTGTCCCTTATAGTTTTTTTTATGCTAGGTGCTCGGAATGATTGTACGTTAGCAAATCCCAACCTTTCGAGCTTTCTCAGAGTTAATTCATGTGGCACTTTATCGAATGCTTTGGAAAAGTCCACGTAA